AGGAAGGAAGGAAGGAAGGAAGGAAGGAAGGAAGGAAGGAAGGAAGGAAGGAAAATAAAGAAATTCATGGGTGGGAAATGAATCAAAAGTAAGATTCATTCACTGGCAAGTAAGACATTTTCCTTTAAAGCAGCTGTAGCAAACTAGCTAGAGACATTTTTCTGTGTGTAATAATATTAGAATATGAATATATCTATTCATATTCCAGATTAAATCTGGATAGATGTTAATCCTTAAGTTTAGACTTTCTGGTTAACACCTAATTAAAAATATGAAAGGTTTTAGATGATTTAAAATAGAAATTAACACACTAAATAGTGAAACTTTCCCAAATGTATAGTTAAATAAAGCGTTTTGCTTTTATATTGCACATTTCTAATTGATTTTGTTGTATTCACAAGCTGTTTTACTTAATATGCTTTGATTTGTTTTGTGTAGAAAGTGGCCTTCCTTTATGAAGATCTCAACTGTTAACAGTTAAAGACATTTTCATAATATCCATGTCAATTGTTTTGGATTTTGTTCTTTTTTGAAGATACGAGGAGGAAAGCTCATGATCACTTATACCCGTAAAAGCGATGCTGGCAAGTATGTTTGTGTTGGTACCAACATGGTGGGGGAACGGGAGAGCGAAGTCGCAGAGCTAACCGTTTTAGGTAAGTGTATTTCTACCTAACATCATCTAATTCCTGTAGAACATACTCATTGTTATTAAGTTGTATCTTCATACAAAGGAGAAAGATCATCTTTAACCAAAATATATATATATATAACCTTTTATATAAGAGAGAAAGAAATTCCAATAATCCAGTATGTGGAGGGAAGAGAAGGCATGAGAGGGAATCCGAAAAGCAGCTTGAGAAAAAAAAGATTCAAAGATATAAAATTAGTGTAAATATGAAACAGTGAGAGAGGTCTATAGGAGTGGGCAGCTGTGTGGGATAAATGCAAGTCTGTCCTAAGGGATTTTCCATTCATTCATCTTCTAGAGAGGCCATCATTTGTGAAGAGACCCAGTAATTTGGCAGTGACTGTGGATGACAGTGCAGAATTTAAATGTGAGGCCCGAGGAGACCCTGTGCCTACGGTTCGATGGAGGAAAGATGATGGAGAGCTGCCCAAATCCAGGTACAGATGGGGGATTCAAAATATGATGCATCAATTTGAAATTTCTGTTTCGATTCAGGCCACACACGTCCTTTAGTCAGTGGCATGGTCCTCGATTCCGATAGCATTACTTTCAGTCTTTACTTCATGAAACTGCTCAGCAACCTATCTTTTGAATTATAATTTTTTCCAGGCTTAGTTATAAGTGATGTAATATCCCTAATCCTGGACTATATCAATGAGCCCCAGCTCCCATGATTAGAACAGAAAAACAACCAAACAACAAAAAACCAAACAAACAGTACTCTGTAGTATACTGTGTTACCAAGCTAAGGTATGAGAAAGCAAATATATGAAATGAAATGAGTTTATCATAACATCAGTTTATAATACACTCATTTTGATATATTTGCATTACAAGTTGAGGAATGTCTGTAGAGTCTGTGTCCACGGGTCAGGATGGAACACCAGAGATAATTAAAATCAGAAGGGTATCATCTTGTCTCCAAAGATTCCGAAAGCAGGCTACCCTGACTGTAACTTATAAATGTCGTGTTCCTTAAACAGATTTCTCTTTTGCTCTGACAAATTGGATACAAAATTTGCAAAGGAGTAGGTTGGAAAAGGAAGACTGACATAGCATTAAACTTGTAACTATGAATCAATTAAAAATTGGACTTCTTTTTTATTAACTGTAATATGGCCAGGAAAGTGTAGAAGGCATGATTTCTTGATGTCTGTTAACACCTTAAATAGAAGAAGAGAGAGCTAAGATTTAGGGAACATTGCTGATAAGATAGTGATATAGAACATTCTGGTATTGTCACAAGGCTTTTGTCTTGTGTGTATTCATTCAGCAGCAAGTATTGAGTCCTTGCTAAGAGTCGTCATTATAGCTTTAGGATGGAGGGTGTCTATGATTGAGGAACATAAAAAAGGGGGAATAGCAGTATGAATACAAATCCAATGGCATTATCAAACATTTTTGGCACAAACATAGGTACAGAATCAGGAGAAACTTATTAAAGGAAAATGAACCATAAGCAATGGCTGAACTATATCGTGTGTGTGTGTGTGTGTGTGTGTGTGTATTCAGGAAATAAAATAATGTACATATGAACCATTGCAGCATAGACAGAGATGTGGTGGGAAAGTTTAGCATAGCTCATGTACAAAGTATGTGGTAAGCATCATGTGATACCAGACTAGAGCCTTTAGGGCCAAATAATGAAGGGATTCAGGCAATAAAGAATTTGAGCTCACATTGCATGAGACTGCTGAGCCACAAAGAACTAGAATGAACAGCTTTAGTATCCAGGAATAAACTTGGTCTGCTGAAACAGTAGACATTGCTTCATTAAGGTGAGAGGCTACACTATCGCTGTGTTTTTAACAGAAGAGACTTAAGCTTCCTAACAAGGATATGAAGCTGAGGATCCTGAATGAAGAAAAACTGAAATAACCTGATACAGTAAATGACATATCTGCCTTCAGTTTTCCACACTACCACTAAATACTTGGAAAGAAAAAACCAAGTGGCCTCAGGTTCTGCATCTATAATATCTGCTGGATCCTAACCTTCTTGTTAGACTTTATAAGGTCAGAATGTAGAAAACCTTTAAATTTTGGATTTACTCAGTGATCCCATGCTTTTCAACTTTAATTTGAGCACAGTAGCTTGCAGAAACCAATTGCTCTTTTAGAAACTGAATTAAATTTGCATACACTTTGTTTCTGATTGTTTAGAGGCATGGCTGCTTATGACTTGATGCTGAGATATAGCATAGGTTCATATTCATACTTGTAATGGTGTGATTTTCCAAGAAGCAAACCACGTGCCTTTGTTTTCTTTTATTATATCAACAGATATGAAATCCGAGATGATCATACTTTGAAAATCCGGAAGGTGACGGCTGGCGACATGGGATCATACACGTGTGTGGCAGAAAATATGGTTGGGAAAGCTGAGGCATCCGCCACTTTGACAGTTCAAGGTAGACAATGGAGAGGGGTCATGTATCTGTGTGTGTGTGGGGGGGGTCAATTAATCATGAGAAATACAACTTTGATGCTTGCAGAGTACACTACTTAATAGTCTTTATAAATATAGCCTTTATTGCTCTTAAAATTTTTATGTCAAATATCCAAATGAAGTATTTTCTATATTTGCATCCTTTTTGGAAGAAATTGAATTAAATTTTCAGACTTATGGTAAGTTGGATCTCACATGACACTATGCTTTAATCTCTGTGTCTTGACATATAATGTCCTTTAAAACTTGTAATTAAATGGCAGCTGTTTTCATGAAATCTTTGTTGTAGACAGAAAATATGATGTGTATTGCTTCAGGTCATGTCTCAGATCAGGGTTGTGTAAACTGAAGAATACCAGGTGGATTCTGTACCCCCCCTCCAGAATGCAGTGTTTTCTTTTCCTTCTTCTCTTCACACAATACCTATGACAAAACAGGTGCTCCAAACATATCAAGTGAATAAATTTCATTTCTCCTTGGCTAATTTCGATGGAGATTTCTTATTGAGTTTATGTGCTACAGTGGATCAACTGTTCAATGGCAGATGTGTGCTGAAAGTAGTTAGTATCTTGAAGCTGATGTTTGCATATGTCTACAGATGTTTACTTACTATTGTGCTCAGAATTCAGACATCTTCTGTGTCCTTCATCATCCTTTTGCCTCCATGATGTTACAATAATTATATTTCATTGTTTTTTGTCTGAGAACTTTTCTTTTCTCCTAGTAGGAAATCCTTTATTGTGGAATTTGAGAGGCAATGGCATTTAAATACTTTTTTTTTTCTGTGAAGGATTCCCTATTTTGACAAGTATATATAGTAAACAGGGATCATAAACTACTTAGGATGTTTATGGGCTAACATTAGCAACACTTGGGCCTGTCATCTTTTCTGAATGCTGTCTCTTCTAAACCTATTAAGAAGAAAAAGGTGGCTTTTGAGAGAGTTTCACTATAGTGGATGTTTACAAAACAGCCTGTGGGCTTTTCACATTAAAAAGAGGAGGAGGAGGAGGAGGAGGAGGAGGAGGAGGAGGAGGAGGAGGAGGAGGAGGAGGAGGA